TGAAGGGAGGGCTAGGAATGGGGAAAAAATAAGAACCAAGATGCATTATATAAAGGTACAATTTCCAATGAGAAAAAAAAAAACTAGAAATGACTAAATGTCTATCAATAAGCAGCTAATTAAATAAGCTATTATGGGACATTCGTAAAATGAAAGACTACGTAATATCTCTAAGACATATAGTGGAGAAAACAAGTTGGACTGATGCATGTAACACATGAATATATAATTTATACCATATGATATAATACTACATATAGTAAACTATGTACTTTGAAAAGTACATATATCTGGATGTAAATTTGTTTTTCAAAAAGATTAGAAGAATGTACACCACCAGGCATGGTGGCACATGCCTGTAATCCCAGCACTAAGGAGGCTGAGGCAGAAGGATTGCCATGAGTTCCAGGCCAACCTGGAATACATAGTGAGTTCAAGGCTTGCCTGAACCTTATAATGAGACCCTGTCTCAAAAAAACCAAAAAAAAAATAAAAAAATAAAAATATACACCAAAGTGTTAACAACACATACTGCTAAGAGGGAGGAAGTACGGGAGGACGATGGTCAAGAGGAGCCATTTATCTAACTGTGATTTATCTAACAATCATATCCTACTACTTCTCCAATTTAAATGCTTTAAATTTAATCAATTGTCTGGAAAGTTTACCCACAGGGACAAATGAAACATATACCCTCAATTATAATAATCTTCCAATATAATAAATCTTATTTTCTAAACCAGCATTTATTGTTTACTAACAATTACTTACCCTCGGGTAATGGCTTATCTTTATCTACATTGTTGTTCTCATAGTGGAATTCATAACCAAAATGCTTTACTCGTCTGTGTTTTAAAGATTTTTGAACTGTGTAAAGAGATGAAAGTAAATTATTTGGAAAAAAAGAACAACAGCCTTTCATCTATTTCACTCAACATAATCAGTAAGGATTAGTTTGGTAATGGTTACTTCTGCTAAGTTACTGTCTTTAACAACATCTTACCATTCTGTTTGTATCTGTTATTCTTGCAAGTCTAAAACAGTAACAAATATTTAAAGAGTTTCAGCTAATCAATATGAGAGAGATAAACATGTACACTGCCATTCACGAGACTGCTCATGCTGTGGAAAGTCAGAGTAACTCCAGAAGGCTCTGGCTATATTACAGTGGTATAGTATCACACTGATGATTCCACAGAGGAAATATGCCTCAGGGTAGATTATAGCAAAGAAGATAATACAAGTGAAAGAACTTATACAAGTCAGCTATACAAATATTGGCTAATAAATATTCATCAGTTTGGAGTTCAAAATTGATAGCTATATAAATATTACCACATCTATTATTCATGTCCTAAGAAATGCTAGTATGGCTTGTCTTAACATTGGATTCAAAATACTTTCAATGATCTTGAAGAAATATTAGAGTTTTAATAAACCAAAGGAGGAAGGGAAGAAAAGAAGAGTAGTAACATGACATTTTGTAAAAAGCTTTAAATATCATATTTAGAAAATTGTACTTACAATTTTGATTGTCTAGATCTTCTGTCCAATTAATACTTTCCAAAAGCATTTTCTCATCCTCAGAAGAAATAATTTCTTCTACTACTGTGAGACCTGGAGGTAGGGCTTGATGCCCCAGCTCCTTCCATTGAGCTACGGGAAACCAAATTAAAATAGTCACATATAAAAACACAAATAATTCTATCCAATATCAGTTCATGAAACTCCTAATCCTCATTTTCTGAAATAAGAATTCTGACAGGGACACAACATATTAAAATTGGAAAAACAAAGACCAAGATCACATTTATGGTACATTTTATTCATTGAAATTCTTTTCAGCAAATAGAATAGTACTTTAGTACTCTACTTGAAAATGATTGTGTCACTTTTTAAATCTCACTAAAAGATTCCTCACAATATATACTATATGCGCCTATATTTAAAAAGTCAAAATTGTCTCTGAATGTTAAATACAAGAGTTTAAATGCCCATTTTTGTTCTTGGGGTCTTCTAACTGTGGTCAAAAAATAGAAAAATGTAAAATAACATAGAACTTTGTAAATAAATTAAAAGTACTACTTATGAAGAATTATTTAATATATATGAAATTAACAAGTTCCTGTGTCCTTCAGAGTTTTAGATAGGTATAGAAAGAAAAAAGAATTTTCTGTCAGATAAAGGGAATAGCTTATTCACATTTACCATTAAAGATCTGATCAGTCACATTACAGAAACAATTTTTGAAGTTTTTCAGCTAGATAATTTACCTTTTGAGTTGTTTAATATAAACATCCAAAAAATAGTAAGTATATACTAGATCCTATTAATAATACTTCAGAAATTTAAATAGTAAATCATTTGATAAATATATACCAAGTACTTATAATGTGCCAGATATCATACTATTTATTCAAATTACGTAAGAAAAACTTTGGGGAAAATTCCTAAAGTCAGATACTTTATAGTACAAATAATTCATATTTAACTTTCTAAATATGTTTTTTTATATCTTATAAATTTAAAATATCTCTTGTACTTGCTACTCAGTGGCTATCTGGAGGTAGGTATCAAAACATTTGGTACATAGTTCTATTCTCAATTAAAAAATTATTTCCAAGGTTATAAATGTGCTTGCCTCAGATTTAGAAGTACACCTGAATCTAATGAAGGACTATTTATGAAGAATACTCCCAAACTCACTTTGTGCAATCTCTTACTGAGTGTTTCACATACTGAATTGGCAGAAATCCAAGGGCAATATTTTTTTATTAAAACTTGCCCCTGAACCAGTTTTCAAAAACTGATCAAAAACATGTAAAGTGTTCAGTTATTAAAATGTGTGAAGCTTAAGTCAAATTTAAAATTAAATACATAGGAACGCTGAGAGATATAATTTCTAAATATATTTTTAGAATACTTTAAAAGTTGTCCTTTTTACAAAAACATAAATTTGATCATTTTTCACTCATCTGCCTATCCCCAGGATATCTAAAGAAAGCTCAGTGGCAAAAGAATCTAAGATTAGATGCCTGAATCAAAATTCATCTCAACACATCTCATTTCCACATATAGAGGGGATAAAAATGTAATAAACCCTAAAGCAATACTGTAAATCAGCCTATAAAGCTATTACTTAAATTAAATTATTTAGTTCCTCCATCTCACTACCCAGGAGCTATTGTATTGGACAGCACAGAGATGAATATTTTCACCATACTGAAAGTTTATTGTATAGCACCACTATAAAGTCTCAGGGATCTCTAGCCGCTAAGTGTGCCCCTCCATGAATATGAAGACTGACATATAATCGCTTGGATCACAGTTAAATTTTCAAGTGATTAATTCAAAGTTTCCATGTAGACACTATAAGATAAATTCATCTAAATCCTCACCATTGAACTTGAAAAGCACAATTAGATAAGGAGCCTCCACATTAAGTAACAGATACTTAAAGAACATTTGATAAAAGGGACTGCTTAATTGATACCCTTTTTTGGTTCTACAGTAACTGAACTCCTGGGGTTGGGGATATAGCTCAGTGGTGCAGCATCTGCCTGGCAAGTGCCAGTCCCTGAGTTGGATTCCTGGTACCAAAAAATAACTAAATAAATAACTGAACTCCCAACTATGACTATGAAAAGAAAGCTCAGACAAAAGCAAGAACCATTATTTAAGAGATAAATAACTTCATGATACCTCTTTCTACAAAATTCAAGTACAGAATGACCTTTTGTCCTAAATCATCCACTATTTCTTTTCCATTGAGGGAAGCATAAGCATTCCTGGATTCTTCTGTGGTTTTGTATCTTACAAAGGAATAGGGCTTATTAGGTGGCATTAAGAGAGCTTCCACAAGTCCACATTTCTCTAAAACCGGGAGCAGTTGCTTTCTACTCATGCCATTACCCAAACCACCATTGGCAACAACCAGGCTCTGAGAAAAAAAAAAAAAAAAGTAACATCAGCAATTTAATCAACCTGTTTATTTTCAAGGAAAATTAAATAGGATTATTTCAAAGTAACATTTCTACAAAGATGTAATTAAAAGGAAAAGGTGTTTCCTAGTGGTGATTTGGTTTGCTAATTTCATACAAAATATGCAAGCCAATATAGTAAATATTTGAGGAATAAAAAGTACTCCCATCTTGTAAATAACATTTAATTTAAAATAGCCTATTTATAAAATATTAATTTCTTAATAACCAAAAATGCAAATTAAAAGATTATTTATATTTATCAGAAATACCAATTTAACACAATAAAAGGGAAGAAAAGAGGCAGGATGGGGAAAAAAACAAGTAGCTACATACTACCTGCTTTTTGCCAGAGAACTAATGTTCTACATTCTTTTACTTAACCTCCACAAACTTCACAACAAAGTACAGATATTCCTTGTTTAAGAATCAAGTTATGGTCCTGTAGCTAGGTCATTCAATGAACTGGTCACTAAATGAGGAATGGTATATAGTGTGCATATTACAATATTCAGAACAAAGAAATGATCAAAGGAAACTCCAACTTGATGACTTTGCTTTTATTTGCATAACTCTTACATGCAGTACTGTAATGTATAACAAAATATAAAACTACAGTACTGTACTGTACAGTAAGCAAAAATTACAGTACTATACTGTAGAAGAAACCACCATAAGCCTGCACTGCCACTCACATTCCTGTGATGTAGGTCCAAATGCGGGTTGTAAGTCAGAACAGATCATAAATCCGAACAATCGTTAAACAGGTAAGTCACTAAACAAGTCATTAAACAATGTAAATTCATTTGGGTAATAAGCCCTACTTTATAAAGAACAAAGTGAAGGTCAGAACAACTGGATTAGGGTGGTGATTAGGGGGAGGTGAATTTGGAACCTATTTATGTTATTTTCCAGAATCCACATTTTTTAGTTTAACCATTACACAATATTTCCTAAAAAAGAAAAGACTGGCCCCAAGAAAAATCAATTTTAGGTTCTGGTGAACATTAAGTATGAAATTTTCCTGCCTCAGTAAATTAATTCAGTTTAAGTAATTTAGTCAGTTTACAAAGAAAAGTTTCTTTGTAAGTTTCATGCTTACTTCTTGTTATTTGCCAAGCTTTCTTCAAGGGATTTTGGGTGGAGGCATCCTCCTAGTTTTATTCAGGTGTTTATGCCAGTGTGCTTACAGTCTCTATATCGCTTTCTACACACTATAAAGATTGTTTTTTGACTATGACTTCTGAAACTGTAGTATAACAAAAGTAAACCGTACATGACCTATGCTCATCAATTTCATCATTTGTACTAGGTGTTGGAAAAGTTGTTCTGAAAAGAGCCAGGTAATAAAATATTTTAAAGCTTCACAGGCCATCTAAGTTTCTGTAACACAGACTTGATTTTATATTTTAGTAAGCTTTTAAAATGTAAAATTCACTATTTGCACATGAATCAGATTTGTTCTGAAGTAGTATGCTGACCCCTGATTTACACTAAAGATTAGTACATACTGTATTCATTTTATTATACAAAATGAGAATACCTACAATGTGCTTAAATAGAATCATTAAATTCTGTTCTGTCATGGGTCATGTACAAGTATATACATAATAAAAAAATTACTACAATAATGTGTTACATAGTGTAAAATTTAGTCTCATAACTGGCTTCCCTGGATCTTATTCAATAAGGTTTTTAAATTAAAATAACAAAATAATTTGGCTATATGAAGCCAGTTACAAAAATATTTCCATATCCCTAAATCTGAGTCAGATACAAAGAGGAAAAATATAAACCAAAGTGCTTTTTCCTATTCTCATATACTCAGTACAACACAATAAAGACTACTTCTGTGACTTCTGGTCATGAAAATCTGTGGGATTTCCCCCCATCAGCAATAAATTTGTTCTACAGAAAATTCTCCAGCAGACACCAGCTGAGTCCTCTAATCTAATTCTGTTCAGTTCTAACCCTATTAAACTGGTGACAGTGTCAGATCTCTCAGGTTGTGAGCTCAGTCCCACAAGACTGCCTTCCAAATCAAATGCCATCACAAGAAATAGGTTGTCACCTATACTTCTGACAGAATGGCTGTGAATCAGGATTTCCAGGTCTCCAGCCTGAAGTTCGATTAATTTGGTAGAGCAACTGACAGAACTCAGACAAACATTGTACTCATACTAACTCAGTTATTATAAGGGATCTTAAAAAGGACAGCGATGAACAGACAGATATAAGAAATACATAGGGCAAGGCTGTGGGAAGGAATGCAGAGCTCCCATGCTCTCTCTGGGTACATACACCACTTTCTAGGAATCTGCACATGTTCAACTACGCAAAAGCTCCTCAGAATTCTGTCCTTTGTGTTTTTATGGAAGCTTCATTATATAGATATGAATGATTAGATCAGTGGCCATTTTCGTTCAGCTCAACCTCCCCTACCACAAGGGAGTGGAAGTGAAAGTCCCAACTCTCCAACATGCACTAGTCTCTCCAATGACATGGCCCCATCCAGAAGCTACTGAGCTGGCCCCGCCACCAGTAGTTTCATTAAATAAAAAAAAGACATTCTTTTCACTCCAGAGATTCTAGGAGTTTTAGTGCTATATGCCAGGAAAATGTACAGAAACAAAATATATTATTTCACATTATCACACTAAGAAATTACAAACATTTCATAAAATGTCAAGAATCCACTGCCCAATGTAGGAATGAAAGATGATGAGGTATAAACTTGAGGATGCGGTATAACTCAAAGATGCCTTCAAATGAGTGTGGTTGGGGAGGAAAAGGAGTAACATTTTCCCCATTACATAAATTATATAATTAAATGTAATAATTGTTTTATTTACAATTGTTCATCCAATAAATTTCCAAGTAATAAGTATGAAGTAGAAAATTCAGATTTTTTTGAAGTTATTTTCAGTCCTGATAATTTGAGGAACACTATTCTAGAAAAATCTTATAATGCATAAAAATGCTATATGCATGTATGAAAATGGCATGATACAAAATATTTTGTAAAATTAATATGCACTAGTAAAAAAACATATTGAAAAAATAAAATTAAAAAATCTTATGCTATAAATTTGCACAAAGTTGCCTGTATCTGTAACACATCATTAAAATAATTGGTTTTTTGTACCGGGGATCGAACTCAGGACCTTGTGCTTTTGAGACAGGGGCCGGCACCACTGAGCTAAATCCCCGGCCCTTAAAATAATTTTTATTCTCCATGGATGAATAAAATACAATTAAAGATACCTCTAAAATTATATTCTTTTTCTTTAAAAGTATTTTGGAGAAAAATAATCAAAGTATAGGTTAGATGCTGCTTTGGAGGCCATAAAGGTGAGATTAAAGCTTCTGGGGATCTTAAAGATTCAATCAGAAATAAGCTTCAGAAGCAGCAAAGAAACTTAGCCCATTTTTTTCTTACACTTCTCTTTATGAGTCCTGTAATAAGAAACCAAGTTAAGGGCCGGGGATTTAGCTCAGTGGTTCCAGCGCCTGCCATGCAAACCCAAGGTCCTGAGTTCGATCCCAGGTACCAAAAAAAAAAAACAAAACAAAACTATTGCTAATGAAGAAACACAAACTTAGGGCTGGGGATTTAGCTGAGTGGTGCTGCAGCCTGCCTGGCAAGCGCAAGGTCCTGAGTTTGATCCCCGGTACCCAAAAAAAAAAAAAAACAACAAAAAAGAAACCAAGTTCTGCTTGAAGAGATGGGAGTAGGGCATATCAGTTTAGTCTTCTGAATGCCTCAGCCTCAGTGGCTCTTGGCTGAAAGGATGAGTGCAGACATACTAAATCTATCATCTATCCCATCTTTTTAAATATGAATTTGACTTAAATTCTCTAAAATTATTAATATCCAACTCCAAGTATGAACCTTTTACCTGCTAACCTCAAATGTCCATCAAAAGACTGCTTATTCCTAAACTAAGATGCAGCACAAGAGATGAACCTAAAGAAAGAGTAGTGGTCTGAGAATCAAGATGCCTAAATTTCAGGCCCAGCTCCACCTCAAAGTATATCTTTGAGCCAGGTGTGGACGGGCGTGGTGGCACACACCTGTGATCCCAGCACTCAGAAGGCTGAGGCAGAAGGATCACTGAGTTCAAGGTCAGCCTGGGCTACCTAGTGAGTTCAGGACCAGCCTGAACTACAAAGAGAGGCCCTGCCTCAAAAAAAACAAAAACAAACCAGAATCAAAGTATATATTTGGCCCCCAGTCAGATGATAACTAAGCTTCCTTCCCACTTTTACTCTATAACTTTATAAACCAAAAAGAATCCCTTAAGACTTCTTTATAGTCATGAAGTATTTTTATGTCTATAAAACTGTCACACACTCTCTTCAGAATCGAACCATCCAATAGAGTAAAAAATATTGCACACCATATAAAGTATTGTGCACTATACCCTATTTATAAATGAAGAAGGCCAAAGTCAAAGGGTATTGTTCATGTCTACATAAGTGGAAAAGCAAAGTGAGCTCCTAAATCACAGCACAGGAAAACTCACAGTCCCTCATACATAATTTCATTTAATTGTTGCCATCAGATAATGAAAAGGCTTTGTAAGTAAACTCTAATAAATAAAAAAATGTTTTAGAGTACACAGCCAAAATACTCTATAATATAGATGAGTTTGGGAACAGCAGAAAGATCATATTAAGATACAGAGGAACTAGCTTTATGTTTCTATGCAATCACTTACTACTTTATGTCAATGAATACATAACCTCTTAAAACTTTGGTTTTCTCACCTATCTCATAAAGATTTTTAGAAAATTATAATAATGAACATAAGTACACTTTATCAACTGAAAAGACTTGTACAGTGTTATAATTGATGTATAGCCACAACTTCCTCTGGTTCAACCAATATGATCAATAAAAATTGAAACCACAGGATAGCACATGATCCAGAATACATAGTTAGAAGGTTTTAGTCTAGTATATTTAATATGGATGAAACATATGATGGGCCAACCACAGCCTTGAGTAATTATTAAAAATATTAACATAGGGCCGGGGATTTAGCTCAGTGGTTCCGGCGCCTGCTCACAAGCGCGAGGTCCTGAGTTCGATCCCTGGTACCAAAAAAAAAAATTAACATAATATATTAACATCAATACATTTACATTAAAATGATAACAAGAATTTTAGGTCACCTGAGTAGCATAAGATACTGCCTCAATACCTTCATGTCTCAGCAAAGTATGCCTGGCTTTAATTTGTTTCCTTAAGAACTTCTTCTCAGTTTTATTGAGTTTGAAATTACTTTGATAGTTGATCTCCATAGAAATACTATGAAATAAAAAGAAGTTGAAATGTTAACAGTCCTGAAGAAATAATTATGTTATATTCATAGGTTATAAATCTTCTATATGATCTTTTTTTTTAAATACTTAGTTGAACTTTCACTAACCCAGAGAGGTGAGAACAGATGTGGAAATAAAGGTATATCTAAGGTAACAAAGAAGAGCATCTAATAACACCTCTGAGAGTTCTAAGTGCACTCTCTTCCTTCAGTGCACTGTTTTTAGCCAGGCATGGTAGCACTTGCCTGTAATCCCAGCAATCTGGGAGGCTAAGGTAGGAGGATCACAAGTGACCCCAGCCTGAGTAATTCAGCCACTTAATGAGACCCTGTCTCAGCATGAAAAATAAAAAGGGCTGGGGATGTAGCTCAGTGTAAAGGTCCTAGTTTTAATTTCCAGTATCACATTTAAGAAAAGAAAAGTGTGCTGTTTTCCTATAAGTACAGTATCTCATTACTTATGAAGTCCTACCATAAAAATCAAAGACAAATTTCACAATCATAAGCCAAGGTAAGGAGGAAGAGGAAGAACAATGTCAAGAAGTCACAGCACATGCAGTATGATTCTACTGATAATAAAGCTCAAAATCCAAAAGCAAGCCATATATCATTTAATGCATATAAAAAAGAAAAGCATGGAAATAATAAGTAAAAAATTCAGGAAAGAGGTTATTTCTAAGGGGGGGAAGAAAGCTATTGTGAGAGGTGACATATAGGAGCATCACAGTCATTTCTTCTATTTCTTAGTTCTTATTTCTAGATGGTAGGTATAGGTGTTGGTTATATTATTTTTTAAACTGTGCATATATCTTTATATCTACAGTTTTTTAAATAACAGAAATAAAAACCCCATAAAATTGTTTTCACTTTATTGAAATACATCATCATCAGGGCCAGGGATTTAGCTCAGTGGCTCTTCCACCTGCCTCACAAGCGCAAGGTCCCGAGTTTGATCCCTAGTACCAAAAAAACAAAGGGAATACATCATCATCAAGTAGTTGCTAAGTACTCCCAAAGAGGCCTTAATAATCACTCCAAATCTGTACCCTACATCTTGATTTAGCATAGTAGCCAATTTTACTTCGCTCGTAGAATAGCATAATTTATGATGATTCATCTGTTAGCTTAACTCCCCTGTCATAGTACATACTTAAAGAGAGTGAGAATCCCCAGCATACAAAGTAAACATTTGTTGAAGAGATCATTGACAAATGAGTGAATACACACATCCCTATTATAGTCTCAGTACCCTGCAGTACACAGATCATGAACTTTTAACAAGTTTGTAAGTTAGTTAAGAAGAACAAACACCAAACAATGAAATCATATGACACACCTTTTTATAATTAAGTATTAATGACGTGGTCATTAGACATGAGCCAGAGAACAAAAACAAGATCAATGTTAATTGGAAAAGTTGGGAAGACTTCAAACCAGAAGGCAACTCATGCTCAGTACTGAAGGACAACACCATAAAGTCATATGGAAAAGAAGATTTTCACTGAGGTGGTAAAGAGCAGAACCTAAAACAGAATTTGGCATGTCTGGCAAAGACAGTAGGTATAAATTTTTAAAGCAGAGAAACTCCATCAACACATGTGATACAAGATAAGGCCAGTAAGACAGGCTGGTGGGACAGTATAGCAGGAAGGTTAGAGAGAAGATCTGAAACAATCCAGCGTGACAAGTAGACATGTTAGCCTGATCTACACTGGACTCACACTCACAGAAGGAAGAGGAAATAAAGAGAAGGGAAGGGTGGGAAAAAAAAGTTCAGGTAGAATCAATAGGTCTTGATGACTATTCAGATGTGAGGAAGAGAGGAATCAAAGATCACTTACTAACAGAAGAGAGCTTGAGCAATTGAGAGACTCATGATATTATTTCAGAACTGGAAAGTCAGGAGGAAGGTGGGGAAGAGCCATTCAGGAATGGAGGTAATGAGTCAGATTTAGAACATGATGGTTAAGGAACAGGTGAGACAATGCAATGTCTGAACAGCATGTGACAATTATGTAGTGGCTTGTAAGAAAAGAAATGATAGCAAACTTTAGGAGTCATCATTACAGAGGAAAGGGATAAGTGACTGGATGCATCTAATATTGCACTATTTATAATAATTGTTCTAACATCTGTCCCCTTCCACAAGACTATGAGCGGTTTGAGGACAGGGATTAAATCACACTTTTCACAGTTACCCTAGAGCCTCCTTCAGTGCTATGAAGCAGCATACCAGCGTTCAGAAGTCCGAGTTCCAGGTTTGATTCTTAGCTTCACCACATACTAGCTGTATGATCCTGGTTGAGTTAATTATGCTTCAGCTTCTGTAAATATGGATAAGGAGAAGAATAATGTCTCTAAGAGCTTGGTTAGAAGAATTAAATTTATTTATTACTACATCACTAAGTTTTAGAAGACCCAGATAAAAATGATTTAACAAAACAAAAATAGCTGAGGGTTTTCAAAGGAACTATTTTACAGCTATTCAATTCTAAGGTATCCATCTGTGAAACAACAACTTTGCAGTATGTCATGAAAAACAAGGGATGAATGCACTACAAAAATTTTTTCTTAATATTTCACAGGAACAAAGACTGCAAAGTGGAAGAAATGAAAAAGAAAAGATGCTGAATAAATCTTTTTAAAAGTCTGCCACTAAAAGACCAGCAGATGGAGCCTCATAATCACATTTTTGTTATTCCATTTCCTTTTTCCCTCTCAATCACATACCAGTACTGCAGGTGAAGTCAAATCCAGATAGCCTAAAGTTTCATTTTCCCATTTCATTGACTTGGAAATGTAACAACCCCCTAGATCTGAGTCATTTCAACAAGGAATAGGCTGGTACCAGCTACTGAGGTCTAGAGGTCCCACCTCTCTATCAAGGCCACTTTTCTAGTCAAGGAGTTTCCACCGTTGCTGCACAGATGCTTCAGTGCTCCTTGCCATGTTATGGGAGTAAGGTTACTATTTACTAGGTAGGATACTAGCCATGCTGGGTTCAGGTTAGCCACCTCCAACCTGAGCATATTCTCTGCAGGATAAGAATTTGAAGATTATACACGCTCTGCTATTTGCTTGCTAGCAAGTTTAAACCCCCAATACATTCCATAGGATATTGCCCTAGATGGCAATAGCAGTATGTGTGTCCATGCCTTCCTTGAATAGTTTATTATGAACCAAACAGTACAGAAAAATGTTCCTGTGCTTGTATGTAAATTATAATAGCAATGATTAGAAAAAACCTAAATTCCAAGGCCTGATTTTAAAGTACAGCACAGGTATACAAATATATATAAACATTTAGAACATACAAATTCATCATATGGGTTGCCTCCAGAGAGAGGAAATGGGTAGACAAGTTGTGAAATGAGAAATTTTCCCTTTCATGACTTTTAAATTTTATTTTTTTCCCCATTAAGTTTATTGGTACATTTTAGGTATACAATACAGTTACATTCATCACTGGGATCTTGTACCTTTACATGATGTATCTTGGTTCTTATTTTTTCCCCATTCCCCTGCCCTCCCTTCACCCCCTCCACCCTTCCCTATTTACAAAGACTTTGTTTCCATTTTTTTCTCATATTTTTTTCTTTTCCCTTCTTTCCTTTCCCCTACCCCTCCCATTTCCTCTACTCCTTTAGACCTTTTCTTCCTATTTCACAATATCAATTATACATTCTGATCCTTATTTACACTTTTAGTTTTTCACACCAGAGAAACTATTCAGTATTTACACATGTGTGTCCTATTTATTTCACTTAAGAGTATGGCCTCAAAGTGCATCCACTTAGCTATAAATGCCTCTAGTTTCTCATTCTTTATGGCTGAGTAGTACTCCATTTTATTTTTTAAAAAACACATCTTTATCCAATGACTCTTGAATTTTAGTTGCTATTCAAATTGTACTGCCTATTTTAAAAGAAAATAAAGGTTTTAAACAAGCAGGAAAAATTCACTCCATTTATCACATCATCCCTTTTTAAGTCTTTGAAGTACACTTTCTATAACTTAATGTTAAGTCCACCCTTGAAGTAGGGATTTTGTTTGTAATATTCATCCTGTAGCACTCAGCACCTGAACAGAATCTAGTAGCTAGTAGCCACTCATTAAATATTTGTTCAATAAACCTAAGTAGAATTTGCCCACCTAGCTCTTAAACTCCTCTTCCAGAATTGTTCGAAGGCCTTCTTCAATGTGTCCATTAAAACCTAGTGTTTATCTGTATCTCAGGAGTTTTCATATTGTATTATAACTACCTGTTGGTGTGTTGGGCTAATTTAGAAACTGTCACCTACTTAAAGGCACTGACTTGAGAGACCAGCATACAGCCTTCAATAAATGTTCAATGAAATCGATCAAAACCACAGGCTGACATCTCCCCCACCCAAGAACCACAAGTACAGTGTTGCTCAAAAGAGCACAGGAAGACTGAGATGCGTGGGTGATCAAGACACCAGGAATGTCTGCTTCCCTGGATTGTCACTCTGCTTCACTGTACTGACTCTGGTAAGAAAAGCCCTTAGCAGCGCCAAACTAACATGTCCTAGGTTGCAAATTCCCGCCTCCAGCCCCAAAGAAAACAGGCTGACCCAGACACCTCAGGTGCACTAACATCAACACAAACACGTGCACCTTACACACTCACAGAATCACCCAGCACAATATGCTATTCTCCAGACTACACAGGAGAACAGACTGGATCGTCCCTCCTTTGAGTTCTCAGCCCTGGCCAGCGAAGCAGAAAAGACTGAGAGGGGCTGATAAGCGGAAGTAGGGATTTGCACTCCGTCGTGCCAGCCAGCAAACGGTGCCACAAACCTCCTCCTCGATTCAGACCAAGTTCTCATAACGCTGCTTCTCCCTCCTTCGCTAGCCTCTCCAGTCTAGCTCCAGAAAGCCGTGGGAAGTACTCGCACACCACCTCACCTGGGCGCAGCCATGTTGGCGACAGCCGCACTACACTTCCCATGAGTCTAAGAGGCGAGGAACAGCGCTCCCACAATGCCCCTTGTCTCCCACCGTTTTGTGTTCTCGCTTTGGCGTCAAGGGCCTTTGTAAACTGTACTCGACAGGAGTAAAAAATTCGGTAGTCATATTTGGGTGAATGGTAATGGTTAGGAATGCAGCTAATTTGTACTCTCTCCCAAAATGGACAATGTCAAACAGGTTATGTCTTTCTGGCCTATGAATAATACCCTCCCCACCTTGGTGTCTGTGTATCTCGTCCTGAATCTAAAGGTACAAAGGTACGGGAGGGGACCTTGGGTGAGAAAGATGCCATCATATGGAATGTAGGGAAGGATGTGACTATACATGCATGTGCCAAGGAGAATGGTGATCAGCACAAAGTAATAAGAAGTGGGGGGAAATGTGAAAGAAGGCAAGATGGAAGGGAAGAATAGCATCAAATCATTAAAAGACCTAATCCAGGAAAGATTAGAGAAATGGAGTGGCACCATCAGAGCTTATTGAAGGAGGGAGGAGAGGCTAGAAGATGACTATTATGGTGGTAAAGCGAAAAGTGATGAAATGTAGTCACCAAAGGAATAAAAAACGATTTGGTTACCACAGACAAAGAAGAGGGTGAAGATTAGCAATTGTTTCTGCTTTAATGTTAAAATGTAAATCATCCTCTGCATTGGATTATGAGCTCTGTAAGTATATGGAAGGAAAGGAGGGGGGTGCCCTATAGTGTTGATACCAGTACCCCTATGGGCATCCCACTGCAGGGGACTATCAGTAAAAGTTAATGCTAGCTGACCAGAGAAAGTGACACAAGTAAGAGAGTATTGATGAGCAGAGGAATAAGTTGTGTTGGGAACACCTTAGAAGGAGGAGAGAACAGAAGTTGGAAGGCAGATAGGCAGCCACTACAATAGTCCAAGAAAGAAAAGGTGAAACCAAATCAGAATAGCAAAAATGAAGAGACAAGGACAAGCTAGAGAGGTCAAATCAGCTAGACTTTGCAAACTACTGGAATGTGATGGGAAATATGTTGACTCTACCTCACTGCTATCTCTCTTTGATGCTTTCAAAAACATATCCCAGTAGAAATTTCAGCAGTGATGGAAATATTCTGTAACCTGAGATGTCCTATATGATAAACCAGTGATGGCGAACCTATGCCACGCATGTTTTCCTTTTTTTCTTCCTTTTTTTGGTACCAAGGATGAAACTCAGGACCTTGCACTTTCAAGATAAGCGGCGGAACCACTGAGCTAAATCCCTGGCCCTGTTGTTTTTCTTTCAAGACAAAAGATGTTAACATATGGGTTGTTTATCTAAACTAAAACTTCAATGTTCAGGTTTAATTGCAGTGTTGGCACTTTGCAATAAATAAGTGGGCTTTGGGTTGCAGTTTGGGCATTCATCTCTAAAAGGTTCACCATCACTGTAGAGCAGCATGTGGCTTTTGAGATTTTCAAATGTGGCTAGTACCACAAATTTTGAAGTTTTAAAAGTTTACTTCGTTTTATTT